AGGGGACGGTGACGGCCACGTAGAGGGTGGCGAGCAGGATGAGCCCGTCCCAGCCCGCCTTGAAGGCCCCGTAGTGCAGCAGGATGAGGGGGGGCTTGCGGATGGCGGCCACCTTGTACTCAGGCAGCGAGGGCTTGTCCCCGAAGACGCCCTGATGGAGACAGGGGTCAGCCTTGATGCCCCGTCCCCTGCCTCGACACCTTGTCCCCCGCCTCGACACCTTGTCCCCCGCCCTGACACCCTGTCCCCAGCCCAGACTCACTGTCACTAGCATGAGGATACTGTCTCCAACCTCAACACCTTGTCCCCAGCCCTTTCCTACCCCTATCTCCAGCCTAGGTGTGTCCCCCAGCCTGGTCACCCTGTCCCCAGCCTGGACATCCCAAACCCATCTCCACCCCCTTCCCGGTCCAGCCACATTGTCCCCAGCCCTGACACTTTGTCCCCAGCCCAGACACCTTGTCTCCGTCCCCCGACACCCTGGAAAGCCTGCCCTCAGCCTCAGCACCTTGTCCCCAGCCCTCGTGTCACGACGTCCACTGCATCAGCCTCTTCCCAGCCTGGACACTCTATTCCCAGCCAGGATGCCCTGTCCCCAGCCCTGACACGTGTCCCCAGCCCTGACACATGTCCCCAGCCCCAACATGTGTCCCCAGCCCCAACCCGTGTCCCAGCTCCACCTTTCTGAGCTTGTGCTTGCTCTTTCTCTGCTTCTGCAGGTGTCCTGAGAGGTGGTACAGCACCGCCCGGCTCCGGCGCCGGCTGGCATTGAAGCCCTTCCCTCCGGCACGGCTGAACCGCCGACGCCTGCCTGCCCGGACAGAGGAGGGGGGGGACATCGGTGACAGTGGCCATGGGGGGGGCTCCAGCGGGTCCCATTGCTCCTTGCTGTCCCCTCACCCGTGTCCTTCGTGCTGTCGGCACCCGAGCGGCTCTTGGTGCTGGTGATGTCCTTGTGGGACACAAGGAACAGGGCCACCTCGTCCTTCTCGTTCTTGATGGGCACCACGTCCAGCAGGCACCAGAAGGGGACACCTGCCAGGGGGGGCAACACCCGGGCTGACGGGGCATCACCCCCCGGAGGGGCTGCGGAAGGGCCCCGGCCGCCCCTCGCTGCCACCCACCGCTCTTGCGGTAGAGGATGAGCTCGCCCTTGAAGGCCTGGTGCTCGTCCAGCGCGCGGCGGAGCTGCTGCCGCAGCCGCGCGCCGGGGGCGG